AAAAAAAATCTAAATAATAGGAAGAAGAGCCAAGGATAGTGGTTCATGCCTGCCTGTAAACCCGCTCTAGAGGCTGATGTCAGGAAATTTCTGATTTGGAGCTCAAGGTTCAAGGCCAGCCAGGTCAACTCAATCAATACAAAAGTGGGTATAGTGCCTCAAGCCTGTCATCCAGCAACAATACAGTAAATAGGAGGATTGTGGTCCAGGCTGGCCCAGGCACAAATTCAAATCATATTGAGAAAAAAAATAACAAAGGCAAAAAGAAGGGCTGGGGATGTGACTTGAGTGTTTATAGACTGCCTGGCCAGCAAGTGCAAGGCCAAGTTAAAACAAACAAACCTCAGAGACAAGGAAGAACAACTCTGACCACGTGGGCAGGACTTTGTGCCAGAGACAGATCAGTCACTTTCCATTTCCTAAAACTGAGCTTTCACCATTCATCCTAGAAGACAGCTGCAATACATTCAGGCTCTGCTTCTGGTTTCCTGCAGCCGTGTGATGGGTGTGATGGAGCCCTGAGAGCTTTCCAGGAAAGGAGTCTGGGCATCAGGTTGCAGGACACAAGCAGATAAATAATTTATCAGATCAAATCTGTGCCTCTACTGATCACTGAAAAAGAGCCAGCCAGCCCAGTGGTTCTCGTATTCAAGAAAGCTGAGCCCTCTGGCTAAGCAATCCAGATGCAACCAATTGGCTTTTGCCCATCTCTGGCTCTATAGAGATTATATACAGCTCCCCAGTCCTTATCAGAAATAGTTCTCATTAACTGAAAGAACTCTTCTCTGTATACTCTTGGCTTAGAACTCATGCCTTCTCACAATATTCCAGTGATCCTCCACAAGATGGTTTTCTTATCCGTTTTTTCTATAAAAATTATCTTTTAATTCCATCTAGTTTTAATAATTCCAAAAGATGTCTCAGAAACCCACTACTTTTGTATTGGGTATGTGTTGCACCTTTTTGCTTTTTCTCTTCCTTGTAATGCTGGAGATCAAATCTAGGTCCTTGAACATACTACACAGTGCTCTACTACTGAGCTATATCCCCAGCCCTTTAAAAAAATGTGAATAGTCAATTGCAAAATGCAAAACTTAGAATGGTGTTGTGGCTCAAGTGGTAGAGTGCTAGCCTTGCTCACATAGAAGCTCAGGGACAGTGCCCAGGACCTGAGTTCAAGCCCCAGAACTGGAAAAAAAAAAAACTCATTAGTTTTATTAGTTGCTCATTGTCAGTTATTCAAGAAAAAGAAGCCTTGTTCTTTTTTTCTTTTTGTCGGTTGTGGGGCCTCAACTCTGGATGTGGGCGGTCCCTCAGCTCTTCAGCTCAAGGCTAGTGCTCTACCACTTGAGCCACAATGCCATTTCCGGCTTTTTCAACTTATTGGTGCTGAGGAATCAAATCTAGGGTCTCATGCATGCAAGGCAAACACTCTACCACTGAGCCACCTTCCCAGCCCCAGAAGCCATATTCTTTAGGGCTGGGGCCAAAATAACCGTGTGCCAGCTAGGGGTCCAAAAGTTGGGCTCAGGTGTACCCAGTCCTACATTTGTTAAGTGAATTGTTTCTATTTTGCCTGTATTTATACTAGCAAGAATAAACTTTGTTTCTCAAAACTGTATCATGGTGTCATTTAAAGACACTAAAGTCAAAAGATTTGTGTTCCAGTTTTGATTTTGACACATACTAGCCAGATGACTAGAAAGAGCTTCCTATTCATTCAGGTTAGCATACAATGCAGTTTAAGTATAACAATAAAACGCTTTACTCATTGTCTCATGGGAACTCAGAAGTGAGACCCAATGTTGACCCACCTAAAATAGGGAAGTCAGAAAATACCAGGTGTCCCTGTGGGGTAAAAGATGAGGAGCCAGATCAGCAAAGTTAGGAATATTTTAGTCAGTACCACCTAAGGGCAAAAGCATAGACTTGAATTCAATGTCATTGGTTCAAAGTAATGGGGGGAGGGTAGGAATGAAGAGGGCCAAGTCATGATGTCTGTTGGGTATGACATTC